TATTATTATTATTATTATTATTATTATTATTATTATTATTATTATTACTATTATTATTATTATTTTAATTTTTAAATACTCTGTAGTGTGATTGTGTTGTGGTCTTTGGAGCACTGTGCTGGAGTAGCTTTCAAATTTCATTATATTTGTAGAATGCAATGACAATAAAGGTCTTCTCTTCTCTTCTCTTCTCTTCTCTTCTCTTCTCTTCTCTCCTCTCCTCTCCTCTCCTCTCCTCTCCTAATCAAAATTTGGTTGCTTGGCAACTGGCATGTATTTACAATGACTGCAGCATCTCAAGGTCATGTAATTACCATTTGCAACAGTGACAGCCATTTTCTGACATGCAAAGTCAATGAGGAAAGCCAGATTTGCTTAATGACCGCATGACTGACTTAACGACTGCAATAATTCGCTTAACAATTGTGGCAAAAAAGTCATAAAATTGGAAACAACTCACTTAACCATCGCCTTGCTTAGTAACAGAAATTCTGGTCCCAACTGTTGTCATAAGCTGACCATATTTAGATTTCTAAATTCAGTTGAGTATTATCCCTAAGGACTTTTACCAAGTGCAACAGACGAAATTAGAGCTGTGACATCTAATCTGGATGGCATTTGTAAGCTAGCAAAGGACAGTGCCCTGCATAATAGGCTCAGGGCCTGAAGTGACTCATATGGGATTTCTTTTTCTTTTCCCTCAAGAAGAATAGGCTTACTACATTTGCTTTCCAGGGATGATAGGAACAAGGCTGCCTAGGATTTTGAACTGTGACAGTTCCTATGTTGCTTTGCAATACTCCTTGTGAACATTATCTGTCTAATATAATATATAATGGAGCTATTTCTGCTCCTTACAAAAATGTAGAAGAGAAGTATTAGCACTCTCAGTGTTACTATTATTATTTATTAAATGTGTTATGGAAGCCCATTACAGTAAACTCAATACCACAGTCATTTACAAAAGAACTACACACAACTTTTCTAACTGAATTCTTTTCTTTTTAATACATTATTTATTAAATTTCCTTAAAAAATAAAAATATAGAATTAAAAGTTAGAAAAATGAGAAAAATGCAAAAAGAAGGGAAAGAATGACTCAACTTTCTTTAGTGTGTAGAATGCAAAACAAAAAAACAAAAACCCCTCAACCTTTTGCTTTATATTTCACAACATTTCAAGCCATTTCTAAAATTATAACATTACAAAGCCACCCAGAGTCACTTGGTAGGGGAAATGAGCGGCATAAAAATTTGAATAAATAAAAATAAATAATAAACATAAACTCATTCTAATAATCAAAATCTAAAAACAAAGTTTCTTTTTTAGTTTTAAGCAGAAAGTCCAGAAGTGATTTCCAAGTAGAAACAAAACTAGACATATTCTTTTCGTTAAAACAATTTTGCCACCAACACTAATTCAATCACCTTTATCATTCACTCTTCCATAGTGGGAACTGATGAGTCTTTCCAGTTTTCTAACTGAGCTCTATTTATATTTCTCCACTTTTCCCCTCTTTCATATTAGACAATGTACCCAACTGCTAAGATCAATTTGGTACACAATTTCTTGTTTGTTTCTTAAGACAATTTGCTCGGATAATTTGTTACTTTATTTCTTTGGGTGAGTATTTACTATATTTTTGATTTTTCTGAACTTTCATGTTATCAGAGCTTCACTTGAGTCTTATTGATACAGACAAGTAGTCCAAGTGCAAAAAATATCTCCAAAGTTTGAAGCTTGTTTTATTTATTTCATAAAGTCATCCAATCTGTGACAGTGTGGGAAAAAAAATAACGCTGTCTCTTACATTCAGTGACTTACTGTACCACTTTTTAGTCACAAAAACTGCAATCAAATGTTCCTTATACTTGATTATCAAGCTCCTATTTCACTATGTAATTCTGTCCCATTCCTCTATGACATCTTTAACTCAGTAACATATGAATTTTTCACCATAAATTGCTCATTTCAGATCTTCTGATAATAGTTCTGAAAGTTAAATCTGGAGTTTAGTCTCACTATTTCAAAATATTCAGTTTGTTTATCTTCATCTGTTCTGTTCTGGACTTGCTTGTAAGTTTGAGACCACTGTCTTGCTACATGACCCATTTGCACCAGATTCATCTAAGTGATGATTAAATGTTTTTTCTTATAGAATTTTCTTATACCAAACATCATCCATGCTCCTGCCAATAATGAAAAATTGACTAGCTCCTGAGCAGTGGTGGGATTCACATTTTTTTACTACCAGTTCTGTGGGCGTGACATGGTGGGCATGGCAGAGGAAGGATACTGTAAAATCTCCAGTCAGAGGTGGTATTTGCCGGTTCTCTGAGCTTCTCAAAATTTCTGCTACCAGTTCTCCAGAACTGGTCAGAATCTCCTGAATACCACCTCTGGTCCTGAGGCAACCAAATATCCCCAAACACACTACTACATCTATGCCTGCCCATTTTATTAGGAATTCAGTGTTTGAGTTCCATCAATCAAAATAATACCTATGTGCCCCCAAATTCCACTTTTTATTCATCTACTTATGCATATGACATTTTTATAGAAATCTGAAGAATCATTTAAATCCTTTTTTGCAAATTTGAGGTGAACATGAATATTCCTCTTAAGGCTACGGTTTCTACCTTCCTTTTCTCCTATGAATCCCATTTTGAACCAGTGCTTTTCTGATAATAAAATAATGTCTGCTGACTCTAATCAAGTCAGGAGTAATTATGATAGGAAATCACTCTTGGATAAATGCATTTATAACTGTTCACAATGCTTTTGCTTTCTGAACCAACGGCATTACAGAATTTTAGAAATGGATTTGTAATGTTTCTATATTTTTAGCATCAAGATTTATAGAAGTCTTCAGAAATTTCTTCATAATCTCTGTGGTGAGAACCCTATTGTCCTGGTAGGCCAAGTCTGTTTTATTTAGAGCAGTATGTCCTAAAATAGTCCCAATTATTTAATGAAGAATTTACATAACTGCCTCTAATTAACCTTTTAAGCAATGGGATCTTTGGATCATTTTTCACAATAAATAAATGAACAAGTATGTTTTGGCTCATTGGTTTAATTAGCTGTAAGATTTGGGTAGAGAAGAAATCATAATTTAAGTCATATTTATGCAGAGATATTGAAAATTCAAAAGGGTTCATCAACTTTACTATTGTATAATTTAT